CACTAAGTTGAATGCTGTCTGATGTTTTTCGTTCCAACTAAAGGGCTACTGTAGATAACTAATTTTTTTTTGCATATTTTATTTTCGCAAAGATCATAAACTCTTTTTTGCGATACAAATATTTTCACGAATTGTGGTTATTGCTCTATATAATCTTCAGAAAAACTAATATACACGAGAATTAAATATGCTGGCACACTATCTTGCTTTATTACACGACAATAGTTCGAGAATAAAACGTGATTTACAGTTACTGATCATATTAACTATCTGAATTCACGATGGATTTTTCTGATTCCCCGAATGTGACAAAGAGCACACACAGTATGTGACCGTTCAACATGGAATGTTTACTCCTCCATAGCAACTTATCCAGCTGTAATTTTTTGAGTCCCGTATTTGCTCAATACTTTCAATTCGTTTTGTTTCGATAAACATTTACCTCGAATACTGTTTTCTCTATATATAACATTCGTTTCTTAGATTTATTCTGAAAATACCAAAGGTATCTATATAAGGTGTCAGGGTTGCAGATTTATGGGGAGCAGTGTGGGAGAAAAGAGAACACATCATGTAATTTGATTTGAATTCCAGGTTGATGCACTTGTGACTTTTGATTTATGCAGATTTTGTCTTTCAAAGACATATAATATGAAAGACAAATCCTTTTTAGAGACAAATCTATTAAAGTATGTGACACGTGCAAAATCTAGGTCAATGGTTATTGCAAATTTTCAAACTTTGCATAGATAATTTAAAAGATCTCCACAGCACGTAATCGATAAGAATTGTGGATTTAAATGTGCACGCAACACAGACATGCATGCGGAAGTAGACTGATTGTCGTTAGGTCAATGAAATACCTATTTGAAAGGACTACAAGGATAAATTAATCTAATAAAAAAGTGTAAAAGTTTCAAAAGATGAACACAAGTTTACGTCAGTGTCCATATGAGGACTGGGAGAGAGTATCAATATCGGCTTGTAGTCTCTCGGAAAACTTCCACTGTTTACAAGACGAATTCAATCGGATTGGATGGATATGCACTCAACCAATATGGATTGAAAAAGGTTAATGATTTACAGTTATTTATGTATATTTGTTGAAATAAAAAAAAAGATGAATATTGCTCTCTCTCTCCCTCTCTATTATATCATTAAAATTGATTAAACACGTTTAAAGGATACATATTTCATTTTAATAAACCTTACTATATTGATAGGGCGATGTCCTGTTTACGATACTGGAGCCAAAATGCTTGATTCTATTTACTGCAATACAACCAAACTGCCCATTAGAGAATTACAAATCAAATTTAGTTTATAGAGGTATGTAATATTTTCAAAATGGTCGTTAGTATATTTTTATAGATAATGCTTCTCTTTCTTTTGTATGAAGCTGTGCAAACATTTAGGTCATCAAACTCTATTTAAAAGGGCAGACTGTGGTTTCCATTGCGCAATGTTTCGCGCAACATAGTGAAATGAAGCGTATTTCCTATTTAAAAGCAATCTCTTTTCACTTGATTAATAAAACTTAACAAAATTAAGAAATTATGGGTCGAAAAATTTTATCATAATTTTAAATAACTGATTTTTAAACTTTTTTTAAACTGACAGTAGATAAGCGTCGCAATAGTGTGTTTTTGACTTTAGATAACATGACGCTCTTACAGATGGGGTAATAAAAATGTTATAAAATAGAAAGTAATAAATATATGCTCTTGAAATTTAAAACATATGAATTTGATAATCTCTCCGTCATATTTATAATTTTTTGTGTAAATCCTTTGTATGTGTCATATTTTGTAGTACTCTATAAAAACAAGGTAATATTATTTGGCATTTTGAGATTCCCCCTCTGGAACAGGGCGGTAGAATTTCGTGGTTTTTACATATAATGTACAGTTTAGTATTACTCATCATATATTATAGTTTGAGCAAAATGTTTATTGTAGTATTTATATTATTTGGTTTTAAGTGCGAAAAATTGGCACTTTCCCATATGATCCTATAGTAAATGTACCTGTATTTTGAGACGGTCCCTTAAAAATACCTGGGCGGAAGATTTTCTCCAAACTTTGCATGTACACTTAAGTTAATGTAAGTTATATATGGTATAAAAATGAATAGTATTGTAGTTTTCACACAATAAAATCACAGTCGGCCCCATTAAGCTAAAAAAAACTTATTTTTTCAAGAGTTGGAATTTAAGTTGTCAAGGGGAGCAATGTTCTTTAAGGTGGCTTGAATGAATATTCAATTAACCGTTCAATTTTTTAAATGACTCTTTGTGTAAAAATTCATTTCAAAATTCGTTATGCTGTCCAGTTCGGCTCAAACCGTGCTGCAAATTAGAAAATAAGATAGTGTCTTTAAAGTATTGGTACAAAAAAAAAAACTGTTGTGATGCAAATAATCTGAGATTATGACAATTTGTTCTGAAGTAGATCGAGTAAACAAGTACATAAGATTTTTTTTTTGAAAATTTGAGTTCAAAAAGCTCCCTATTTGCAAACACTGAAACTGCTCAGTATTTATTTTTCTTATTGTTTTGTTAGAAAATGGTTGTCACTTCAACATGGAGAAAACGTAAGTTTACTTTTTTTCTTAAGCATAATTATAGCTTCTGGGGTTATCCTCCCCTATGTTATCTGTCTGTGCACACAAGAAAATTTCAAAATAAGGAATTATGCATGCTATTGTCTGATACCTTAGAAGTAAGATCTCTGTCTAACGTAATAAAATAAGTGGTCACAAAAGAACGCTTTTGGTATATATCTGAAAAATATTAATTTTACATTTAAGTAAATGTTGCCTTTTCATATCACCTCGATATCAAGTCCGTGGATCTTGACCAAATTAGATTTATTACGGCAAATAAAAAAAAACATTAAGGAATAAGTTAAGTTTTTAAAAGTAAAATGTAGATGAGATTTCTTATAGATATTTTTAAATTCAATTTTTTTCTCTTGACAGCGAAAAAAAAAGAAAGAAAAAACAGCACAGTTAGCATTGATACTGGCTTCACCAAAACAATGCAAATGGAGTACTTTGTAATAATTGCAGTCGCAATAATCCTTTTTCTCTCTGCTATAATCCTGTTTCTGTATATTAGAAGGCGGCGTAAGTATCTATTGTGTCTTCAAGTTTCGATACAAAAAAGGGAATAATATGTCTTCCAGTTAAAAAAAATCAAAATTAAAAAGACGCAATACATATTTTACAAAGATGTAATAAATGTCTAGGTTAACTCATATACAGTTGTTGATAAATATAGGATCTCCCACGGTTTGTAGTTGGATAATATGATTTTTTTTCCCAACAAGTTGTGTGATTTTTATCCCCGAGCCTTGGCGAGGGGATAAAAACACACAATACGAGTTGGATAAAGCGTTACAGTGTCTGCTCTAGAGTCGCGAAGTAAGGAGTTGATCCTTACGTCGCGGGTTCGAATCCCACTGTGGGACATGGAGACCGGTCCTTTGGATGAGACCGCATAAACCGAGGTCCCGTGTCGCAGTAGGTGCTGGCACGAAAAGGATTCCTCCCTGCTCAATGACCTTGAGTGCCGAGGGTAGGACAAAATTTGCAGCTCTCCACCAGCAAGTGGTGGCGTCTCCATATGAGTGAAAAATTTTCGAGAGGGACGTTAAACAATATACAATCAATCAATCAATAATCCATGTTTAATACTTAACAACTGATGTTTTACACTGTTTTTATATGGTACTCCGCTGAATTTTACTTCATCACACTGACGCAGAAAACCATTGTAACGTCATAACTGCACTAAAGTGTGGGATTTGAAAACGATATCACATGAGCTATATCCACGGGACAAAGGGATAAACATGGGATAATAATTAATTTTTTTAGGTAACAATAGTACTCACACAGGTTATCATTCTTACTAATAAATACTATGCCATTAAAGGTGCATGGACACAGATTTGAATTTAATATTTTCTGTATAATATTACGACTAATATAATTTAATAGCATTTCACACAAAAATAAATGAAAAATCTTATTTTATTTAAAAGTTATTAAAACAATATACTGTGTGTATGTTTTGCTTTTGGCATTTATACACAAGATCGCCACTATTCTTAAGTATTAGGAATAAAATTAAAATTTTTGAACGTGCAAGGATGTGTCAATCAAACCCGCCAAAAAATTTCAAGTTTTAATAACTTTTGAATGAAATAAGATTTTTAATTTATTTTTGTTTGAAAAGCTATAAAAATATACATGTCGTAATATTATACAGAAAATTTTAACCTCAAATCTGTGTCCATGCACCTTTAAAGGGGCATGGACACAGTTTCAGCTAAAATTTTAAAATTTAATTTTCTATTTTACAAATATATTACTAGGGTCTTTCTAATGATCATCAAAAATTTGAACGCCAGTTGTCCAGATACAAGAGAGATTTAGAGCTCCAAACCTTTGTCATGTTTTTGTTTACACAGGTTAACATACTAATATATGTTCGTTCAAAGTAGATAATTTAAAAAAAAAGTTAATTTCAAATACAATTCGACAGTTACTATAATTGATTTGCTGAACTTCATTTTGTTATAAATATGATATTTTCTATATGTAAACAAAAACAAGCCACGAGTCTTGTTTACATTATGAGAAACTTTAAGTTCTGTATCTTGTTTGATTATCAACAAATGATGTTCAAATTTTTGCTAATCAATAGATGATGCCTTATCTACGAATAGATGATGGTAGGAATTTTTAACATTAAAACTGGATTAAAAAATCAATTGAAACTGTGTCCAGGACCCTTTAATACACAATATCGAATACATGTACTGTTTTCTACTCACAAGAGCATTTAACAATTTGATTTGAAGCAAATTTACCAGATATGCTAGAGTAACGCCAAATTTTCATCTTTGATATCCTTTTAAAATTTTTAAAATATACATTTTTTTCAATCATAGGTAACCTTTTTCGAAAAAGATCAACATCGGAAAATGAAGGGGAAGATATTAATCTTTCCCTTGTAATGGACACTTCAAATGACACATATATCCGCGCAGGAAGTTGTCTTGCTACAAAGAGGTTTGTTGTTCTGAGAGGAGTTCAGGGATCCGACAAAATATATTTAGCTAAGAAATTAGCTGACAGTTGTTTAATTGTTTAAACGTCCCTCTCTAGAATTTTTCTCTCATACGGGGAACGCCACCACTTGCCGATGGAGAGCTGCAAATTGTGTCCTATACTCGACACTCAGGGCCATTGAGCAGGGTGAGATCTTATTCTTGCCAGTACCTACTGCGACACGGGACCTCAGTTTATACACGGTCTCATCCAAAGGACTGGTCTCTACGTCCAACAATGGAATTCGAACCCGCGACGTAAGGATCAACTCCTTACTTCGCGACTCTAGAGCAGACTCTCTAACCATTGCGCCACGCGGGCGACTCTATGTGTTAGAATGTAAATGATAGCAAATTACACATCCTAGAGCACAGAGAATTTTTTATTTATGAAAAGAAAGGTGAACAACACCAAGCGATTGTGTCCTAGCGTGTACATTTCTTCAAACTCGAACCCTATTTATTTATTCACAAATGCATATCCGAAAGGACAAGTTAACCAAGATGTACCAAATGTACGGCAAATATTGCAATATTTGTTTTATTTTAACATAGGTTATTTCCAACGAAGAATACCTACAACAGACCATGATGAAGAGGAAGATATTAATCTATCCCTTCTAAAGGACACGTCAAATGATACATATACCCGCGCAGGAAGTTGTCTTGCTACAAAGAGGTTTGTTGTTTTGAGAGGAGTTCATGGATCCGGTAAAACATATTTAGCAAAACAATTAGCTGACAATATCAACCAGATATCTAAGACCAAATGTCAAGTACAATGGATCTATGATGTATTTGAAAATGGAATACCTAGGTTAACAAACAAAGCCTTATTTGTTTTAGACGATATCTTTTACGAACTGCAGTCAAAGGATGAGATTCAAAAGACAATAAAAATAGTAGAAGACCTCTCTCAGGATGCTTGTATGTCAAAAGACCTCTACGTTATTGTCACAATACCAACCCTTGTATGGAAGATACAGTCGGAACATTTTCAAAATAAAACGTGTTTTAATCATTATGTCGATCTAGATGACTTAAGAACAGAAGAAAGAACAGAGATTTTCAATCATTATCTAAAATGTAGTGCTACAAACGAAGAAGGAGATCCAACAAAGGGTAAACCTATAGTGAGAGATAAAGTCAAAAACGCTATCATAAATTTTGAAAGATATGACTATATGGGATATCCCTCTTGCGTAGCTTGGATCAGTAGAATAGAGAACCAAATGGAGTTGAACGATGCTGGTAGATTTATTGAAGTACCAATAACGAGGATTAAAAGCGAGGTTAATCGTTTATATAACGCTAAAAATACCAGAGAAAGAAAAATGTTCTTACTGCTAGCTTTCATGGCATTTAATGATGGAAAACTAGACGTCAGGGAACACGATGAAAATCAACTTATGGATTTAGCTAGAATCTTATTTCTATATGATATCTCTTACGAGTTAGCACTACAGGAAAACGACCACAGTCTCTTTCTGCTACAAGAAAAGTATATAAAAAAGATATCTGTTGGTGTTTATGAATTTTACTTGGAAGTTGTAAGAAAAACAGTGCTCGTAATAGCCTTGGAAAAAAACTTAAAAGATTTAAAGAAGTATGTGAGCCATTATATGTGGAAGCGTGTTGCTGTCCAAAAAGGAAAATTGCCTTCTGATTTATCAGTTGGTGAACTTTCACATCTGTTTATTGAAATGTAGCAAAGATAATAAATTTTCAAAAGAAGAATTTTTAGGTCTTTCTATTTTATATATGTCACAGGGTCACGGTCATGTTAGAAGAATTCAAAACAAAACTGGTTCGGTCGTTTTACAATTTATTGATGGATATAAAGAAAAACCTAGAAAATAGAAAAACACTGTCACAACACTCATACAAAACAGTACACATAGACAAACACGAAACAAAAAGACATTTCAACATTTGCTGAACTTCATTTTTTATAAATATGATATTTTCTATATGTAAACAAAAACAAGGCACGAGTCTTTACGAAAAGTAATAATTAAATAAGAAAAGTAATAATTAAATAAGATATTCAAACGACTGCCAGTAGATCGTTACATAAATTAAACAAGTAAATGAATAACAAGATTAATGAACATCTTACCAGGCATCCAGTATTAAATAAGAAATGAAAATATACGTTGAACATCGATTGAATCGATCTATGATGATAAATATATATAAGCAATCTGCTACCGTAAAGGCTGTAAAGCTTGGGGTGGGGATTTCGGCGGGTTTCTTACTTTATATAGTGCACGGTTTAGTAAAACATGCATATAAATTAGTATAACGAAATCCATTGGTCCATGATATGTCACTGGTCAGTCATACGTAAAGGAAATGCTAAAAATAGAAAGTCACCTGTACAAAACAAAACACTCGCACATGGCTTTCACATACCTGCAAAACCGGTTGTATTCGATTGGCTATGCGCGCCAATCGGAATACGCACTAAATATTGCGCATCAAAGTATCAAAGCAAATATTTAATTATAATTTAATTACAACTATGACATTCTCCCCTGCTAGGGAAAATGGCTCCTGACATTTTAAATTACTGAAGCAAATGTCCATGTAGTATTGTACAGACAAAGTATTAAAACACAAACGTATTTACAAACAAGATGAACATCAACTATGTGACATTCTCCCCTGTGTATACTATACGTAATAAACTGGAGTAACCTGGTGCATCCACTCACCGTACCTTTCCGGTTTTCTCACCTGTCTAGTAGAACGTCTAGGGAGGGGTGTTGGTGCACTCTGTACAGTAGATAAATTGCGATTCAAGGTAGAATCAGTAGTATTATAATACGTACTGGTAGTAGAATCATAAGTACTTGGACTATGATGAGAAATAGAACTTGAAAGTCTACTTACTGTAGTAGAATCCTGACAAGTACTTGGACTTTGATGAGTAATAAAACTTGGAAGTCTAGGTACTCTACGTTGTGGAATGATATAAACTTGTCTACCATCAGAATCTGAGTCTGAGTCAGAAGATTCTGAGCCTGAAATAGCAGCGTCACTTACCTTACACTCACTCTCAAGTGAAGGAGTAGGAGTACTTGTGACTGGGGTGGGTGTCTGATCAGTAGTTTTTAAACACAGCATTGTTAAGGCTGAAATAAGGAGGCGGGGCCTAATTTATACGGGAAAAGTTTACTGTGACGTCACACTAAAATACTGACTTTTATGTATTCCTCATAATACCAGAAAATGAAATATTCTGCAACTTTAAACTGCATGAGCATAATTTAAAACAATAAAACTGATCAATGCATTTAAAAAAGTTACTAGTTAAATCCCATACAGCTGGTTATAAACAGATCACTGATCTCGGTGAACTTGTCAATCATGACGTCATTTTGGTAATAATAACGTATTTCATGTGCTGTGATAGGCAGATTGAGGAATTTTTTAACAATGAAAAATGCGTTTTATTATAAAACAGATTGTCATTTACAGGTGTTAAATAGGCTTTTAATACCAATGTATATCCTTTGTTCAGTGTGATTATTCATTAACTATCGAGAGAATGTATTTAAATAATTTCGTCGTTTTTTTATGTTCAGGTTAGGTATATTTTACATCGAGGTGCCTCATTAAATCATTCTTTCGCAAGGGCATACACTAAATAGATCTTAACCATTTTTTGAATATAAATAAAGGATATGTTCCTTAACTTGAAAAGTGCTGCTGCTTTCTTTAAATCGAAAGGGTGACTTTAAAAGTACACAAAATATTTGGTAAAAGTCAAACATATTTCGACATACGCCTATTTAATTCAAATTTTAACTCTTAAAACGCGAATTCCATTCAAAGCAGCAGCACTTTCCAGAAAGTACAAAGTATACAGAAACAGTTAATAGGTTGAATTTTTAATTTCAAATTGGGTATGCCCTTACCGATATTGAAATTTTTTAATGACCTACATTCATTACACGTACTATGCATTCATCACTTGACTGTCCATCGATGGGACCAAACTTCATACAGTACAGAGTAGGTTATACTATGTTATTTCCAAAAGTATTTAAGTTCTGTGATAATATAACAGCTGAATAAAAATAAATTCAGCTTTAATTACAATACCCGATTTGCATTTCTTTTTTCCGTTGATTTCTCATAGTAAGCCTTAACAGTGCTGCGAAGGGAGTGTCTTAGAACCTGGGCTGATCTGCTCTGTTTCTGATAACCTGGGTATATAAGAGATTGGCAACAACATGTTTCTATTCAAAGTCTTAGATTTATCTTTACCATTCTCTTTTTTTCACAATAAACACAGGAATATCAGGGCTGGGCTGTTCAGTAACAATGTAGGGGTCTCTGGCCCACTTATCAGCCAGCTTGTTCTTTCCCTTCAAACCCACATTTCTAATTAATACACGATCACCGACCTGTATTTTAGATTCTCGGACTTTTGCATCATATATGCTCTTATGACGAACTGCGTTCTTTTCTGCTTCTCGTGAAGCAACTTTATATGAAAATTCGAGTCTCTTCTGTGGTTTCTCCGCAAAATTATCGCAACTACGTTTTTTCTCTGACATATCGAATTTAAATTGAGAAACGCATCAATTGCTAATCGTGGATGTCTCCCAAACATGAGGCAGAAAGGGGAATAACCAGTACTCTCATGTCTTGTTGCATTATATGCATGCACAAGTGTACTTACAAAGGATTTCCAGTCATCCTTTTGTTTGTTGTCTAGGGTACCAAGCATCTTGATTAGAGTCTGGTTGAAATGCTCAACCATCCCATTCCCCATGGGGTGATAGGGAGTAGTTCTAGATTGTTTAACACCAGCTATCTTGCAAAGCTCCCTAATGACATGACCTGTGAAATTTCTACCTTGGTCCTTGTGTAACCTGTTAGGGAAACCATAGTGTAATATGAAATTGTCAAACAAAATCCTAGCAGTTGTCTTTGCGGTTTGGTTACGCGTAGGAAAAGCTTGTGCATAACGGGTGAAATGATCTGTTACCACTAAGACATTTTCAAATCCACCTTTACTCTTTTCAAGGGATAAATAGTCAATACAAACCAAATCGAGAGGATGGTAACTCTCAATATTTACAAGTTCAGCTGAAATTTTCTCTGGTGTTTTGAACTTGACACAGCGATCACAGGTCTTTATTCTGTTGGTGATGTCCTGAATCATACCTGGCCAATAGAATCTCTCTTTCATAAGCTGGGTTGTTCTTTCTCTGCCATGGTGTCCTAAATCTGTATGTAAGGATTCAAATGCTGCATCTCTGAAATGAGCTGGTAGAACCAATTGCTTGACATGATCATGGTTTAAAACAGATGTTCTGTACAAAATACCGTTTTCTATTAACAATTTGTCTTTTTCTCTGAAATATTTGCAAACTTCTACAGTCTCTGATTTTAAATCTGACTTAGATAGTACATATCCTTGATTCAATAAATGTACAACCCTACTAATATTCTTATCAGCTGATTGTTCTTTTTGCCAATCAATGTCAGAAAAAACACATGAATCAAGACATGAAGTTTCAGGTAAAGAAGAAAAGTTTGACTCACTCTGTGCCTCACTTTGTACAAAACCAGTACTTACAGTCATACATGAAGCAGATGTGACGTTATCAGGTAGGTATATATTCTCAAAGTAGGGACAGTGTTCTCTGTTTGTAGTTTGTGCATTACAGATGGACTGGACTACATCAGGAATGACATCTGTTACCAAGGGTCTTCTAGATAAGCCATCTGCATCTGCATTGTTGATACCCTTCCGGTAACGGATGGAAAAATGAAAGTTGCTCAAAGCAGCTAGCCATCGATGACCTGTGGCATCAAGTTTAGCAGTGGTCAAAACGTAGGTGAGCGGGTTGTTATCAGTGATGACCTCAAAGTTGTTTCCAAACAGATAGTCATAGAACTTTTCTGTCACCGCCCATTTCAATGAAAGGAATTCCAACTTATGCGCGGGATAGTTTCTTTTGCTGTTCTTCAAACCTCTACTAGCATAAGCTATCACTCGCTTCTCACCATTCTGCTGCTGATAAAGTATGGCTCCCAAACCATTTCTTGAAGCATCTGTATGGAGGATGAAAGGCTTGTCGAAGTCAGCATAGGCAAGGATTGGTGGTGATGTAAGTTTCCTCTTGATTTCCACAAATGCCTGAGACTCCTCATCTCCCCATCTCCATGGTGGTGGTTTGACTTTGGACTTACCTTTTTCCTTAGAGTTTGTAGAATGGCCCTTCAGAAGATCGTTGAGAGGCTTAATGATCTTAGAGTAATCTTTTACATAACTCCGATAATATCCTGCAAATCCTAGGAATGTTTGAAGTGTCTTGATATTGTGAGGGGCTGGCCATTCAGAAATAGACTTGGTCTTCTCTGGGTCTGTAGATACACCTGCTTTACTTACTACATGTCCTAAGTAGGTAACAGTCTCTTCGAAAAACTCACACTTCTTGGCCTTAAGCTTAAGATTATGTCTCTCAAGTCTCTGAAATACAGCTGTTAGTCGGTCCAAGTGTTCGTCAAATGTTTGCGAAAATATGAGTATGTCATCGAGAAAAACAAGACAGTCTCTCAAGTTCAACTCACCCATACATCTTTCCATAATCCTCTGAAAAGTCGCAGGTGCGTTCGTCAATCCGAACCCCATTCTGTTACACTCATAGTGACCAACACCACTGACTGAAAAGGCTGTCTTCTCTTTGTCCATCTCTTCTATCTCAACCTGCCAGTAGGAACTGGTTAAATCTAGTTTGGTGAAGAAGTTAGACCCAACCAATCTGTCAATAGTGTCGTCAATGCGAGGAAGGTTGTATGCATCCTTGATGGTTCTGGAGTTGAGTTTCCTGTAGTCTATGCAGAAACGTAAACTACCATCTTTCTTTCTGACCAATACTATCTTGGAGGAATATGGGCTCTGCGATGGTCTAATAGCTCCAACATCCAGCACCTCCTTAATGTGTTCTCGTACTTCTGCATACATTCCAGGTGGAATTCGTCTGTATGGTTCTTTGAATGGTGTGTTGTCGGTAAGCTTAATTTCATGTTTTAAAATATCAGTCTTACCTATATCAGTTGGTCCGTCTAAAATAAATGAGTCCAACCAGAGAGAAACTTCTTAGCCTCACTTACTTGTTTAGAAGTTAAGTTCTCCTCTGATATCTTGATGTCTAATTCCTGCAAAGACTTTCTGGGTTTCTTAATACCTTGATCCTGTGTTTCAGGATTCCAAGAGTCCAATAACTGTACACCACTTACTGAACATAAAAGTGATTTTGGTGGTATATGTACAATAGAGACTGAAATATTGCAAACCCTAACAGGAATAGTAGTAGTATGCTTACCCTGGGTAAGGAAAATAACTCTAGGACAAACAATGAGACCTCCTGATAAAGAAGTATTTGTTTGCTCAGTCAAAGCTGAAACAATACCTTGGTTATTTCTTACCAGACCTCTGATTACTTTTTTCTCATTTGGTAACACTTGAATGGTATACTTGTTAGTTGTCTTCACTGGTGTTTCATTATTCATACTGTCAAATGCTATCTTCCATTGTTCTGGAACATCCTCTGAATCAGTGGAATTCTGGCTACAAGCATTCCTGTAAAAACGAATGAAATTAGTTCCAAGAATCATAGGTACTTGCCTTGAATAATTTGTCTGGGGAACTACTAGAACAGGAACAGTATATGTAAATTCACCAAAGCAAGGTACATATGTCAATTTCAGCATAGCCACTATATGGCAAAGCACTGCCATTAGCGCTCTGAACATTGAGTTCAAATTCTGAAAGGTCATGTAACTCAGGCCTAGGGTTTAAATTTCTGAAAAATTTTTCTGACATACAGGTATTCATGGATCCTGAGTCAATGAGAGCTTTGGTTTTTATACCATTGACAATAATATCAGATTCATTGGATTCTCCAACTAACCTGTACAAAAGACTGGATGGATTTTTAGTAGAATTAGGGCTATTTTGAAATGAATCTCCAGTTTGCCCCGCAACAGGAGATGAAACTAGTTTAAAGTACTACCTGTACCAAACCCATTAATGTTACCAGACTGCTGAGTTCTGCCAATAAACTGTCTCTGTTGCCATGGTTGCTGAGACTGTTGTTGAATCTAGTGCTGCTGGTTTGGAGGTTGCTGTTGATTCTGAGATTGGAAATACATTCTTCTGCCTCTGTTGCCAAATTTCTTTACTGCCCTGGAAATTTCCTCTGTTGTAAGTATTGGTGGAAGTATTTGTCTGAAAAAAAATCTGTATTATTAAAACCAATTCTTTGGGTTTGATTACTTGTATTTGAACTTTGCTCAATTTTACCCATTCTGCTATCAAGTTTCTTCATCTGAGAAAGTAATTCTGTAAGTTGTTTTTGCATATTTTGCAGTTCAGAATTTTGAATTGTCAATGAATCTACATTACTTGACATAGCCACACTTGATTTTGGAACTGAATTTACAGATTTCAAACTAGTTTCTCCTTGTTCAATCTGTATTATTTCTCTAAGAAGGGAGTGAAACTCTCTTTTACAGGGTAGGGTTGTTATTTTGATGAAACAGAGCAGAGCTATTAAAAAATTGAGGTGATGACATAAGACCTGGCGGGTGTAAATAACCTGGTGAGGGTATGTGACTTGGGATAGGTACTTCACCTAAAGATGGTAGTTTAGGAATGGTACCCCCACTCAAACCATGTTTAACCTTAGGGGTAGTTGGAATTTTCTGCGCTTTCAACAGGTCATACTCTTCTTTTGTTATAACCCTGTAATGTTGTTCTGAATTGATTTGCTCTATAATTTCTTGTAAGTCCTTCTTACCCTTGTTTTCATCAACACCAGTTGCCATATTGATTTGAAAATGATTAACTGATACCAAATCGCAAGCAAAGATAAACTTATCGCAATGCGCATATGTCAACACATAAGCAATCACTCACTCAAATTCTGTACAAATACAACTATATACACAATAAAATGAAAAAAATATATACCCAAATTTACCTGTCTGCTTTAATTTGTCCAATTGTCCTGTTGTTCTCAGTCCTTTGCTTTGGTTAGTAAATCTGCAACATTAAGAAAGTGGTCGCTCGCAGGGAATAATTTTCAGATCTATACACTACTGTACGTGACACGCATCAACAAAATCATGTAGCGACGGAAGATGAAAGAGCGATAACTCTAGATTTTTTACCTAAATTTATATGCGAAATTGGTTGTTTTTTTTTTTGGGTGGTCTCGGATTACGTCCTTGCACACTGTTATAGGTGAAAAAGTACTTCCAAATGTTCTTGAAATCGATTAACTACATATTGGCGCATTTGTATATCTAAAAGAAATACTTAATCTCCGACTTTTAGCGGGAAAATTTTTCTAAAGAAAAATTCTAACAAATTTTAAAAACATAAATAAGCGATATACAATAAAATGATGAATATTTTTGGGTTCTTTGACATGTTTTCTTTACAAATTAACTTTTTGAAAAATTTAACAAACCCGTATTGTTTTAATTCGAGGCAATTAAATAGGTCCTATATTTTCTGTCGTGTGGAATTACGTGCCCTTTGTTGTTGTTTGGCAGTGACAGTGTTACACGTGTTGCAGAGAGGAAAGGAGGTGTACAGCAGTACAGTGCAAATTTAAAGTAAGTTTTAAGACTTTTTAGTATTTTATTGCGGGATAGAGTTCTTTAGAATTACTTGAAAAGTTAAATTTAGTGCATTTTTACACATTTCATTGACAGGGTTTAAGAAAATCGTGAAACTGTCAACTACTAAAATGGCATACAGTTACAGACGGAGAAATAACTGGCCAAGCAGTAACCCTCTCCAGAGTGTACTAAACTTGCTGAGTAGTAGAGAAGTGCATGGTTGTTTAGATGATAGAGTAAGTCTCGTACAACAAATGCTTTTGTTATGTCCTTTTGATGAGTTTAATATGAATGAACAAAACATGCAAGTGCTTCTTAGGCAGCTCATCCTGGGGAAAGATGAAAAAGCTAAATATATTCTTACGTCATAGAAAACTTTTTCATGTCACAAGATAGTCGACCAACTGTAGTGTCAATGTACATGGAGATAGAGATGAGGTTGAAGTCTATTAGAATGCGAGAGTCCATCAACGCCAGAGAAACCCTGAAAGAACTTGAAAAGCAGTTTGTTTATGCATTCATGTAAGTAATTCAAATATCATGAGTATTACTACTTTTGACAAACAATTACCACTGTTAGATATTGAAGACCTTTCTAAATTTGAAATAGTTTTAACAAATAGACTGGCTTTAGATTTATTTGATTATGTAAAATCGAAAGGTATCAAAGAACAGAAAATGTGTCATTGGTTCCAACAAATCGTTTTACACCCTGTTAATTTGAGGAGTTTAGTTACAAATTTGCATCATTTAAAGAAAAGTACACAGAAAAAGAGGGGACTTCTCAAGGATACTTTTTTGCAAGAAAATTTCAGTGTCCAGCTAGAAAGGATAACTTTATTAAAAAACAGAACTCGGAGTCGGATGGATATGAATTTGGCAATCATTAGCCACAGACTTACACAAAATTCAACAGGAAAAGGATATTGAAATCTCACCTCTAAAGAGAAAGTTATCAGATCAAGAAGAGCAAGAAAAAAAAAAACAGAAAAAAATCAATCAAGAACATGAAAAGCAAAATTCTAAAATTTTATTGCGTACCAGTAAATTAAAGTTAAAAGCCAGGAACTCTAAACAGAAAGAAAGAATTAATAAACTTCATTTTCAGAGAGAGAAAACCAAGATTAAAAAATTGCGAGAACAATTTGGTAATATGCAAAACATTTCTTGCAATTATGTGAAAAAATTGAGATTAATGAGACAAGAAAATCAGAGTTTGGAAAAAGAGAATGAGACTCTAAGGATGAAGATGAATGAATTAACTGAACAACTGGATGACAGAGAGTCAACAATAAGTAAACTTAAAACTGATTTACATCAATTAGATACAAGTTGCCAATACCTTGAAAACTTACTAAAAGATAATGAAAGTGTTACAATGTTTGATAGTGTAAGCAGATCTTATATTCCTGCGTACAGACAAACTGTTATGAAATTAACAAGTCTTAGTGTAGCAACATGTAATGTAAATTCTGTAATTAATACCTCTTTATCATTAGTTGGTAAATGTTTAGAAAACTGTCCATCTCGCAAAACTGTAGATTCAATAGTTACTGAAAAAATAGCTGTGGGTAGTGCTTAGGTTGGAGAAAAGTTGCAGAAAGAAAAAAATACAACTCTGTATTCAGATGAAACTAACAAATTTGGCAAAACATATAACACTTTTCTGATCACAGATGATGAAAAGAATGTTTATTGTTTGGGTTTAAGAGATATGTGTAACAAGTCTTCTCATACTAAATTAGAGACCTTCAAAGATTTACTTTCTGATATATCTGAGATTTGTTCTGAAGACGGTAAAAACTCTGTTGGTAATGAAATATCGTGTAACCTAAGAAATTTTATGTCAGACAGAGCTAAAACTGTCATTGCCTTTACTGATTTGTTAGTAGAATATAGAAAAGAAATCATGCCTCAAATTTTGAACTCCTGGAATGATTTAGATGTTGAAAAGCAGGATGCTTGTTGCAGAGTTAACAATTTTTTCTGTGGTTTACATTTGCTTGTTAACTTTGCTGAATCTTCAGCTAAGAGTTTTGAATGCATGTATGAGAAAATAGATAGTTCAGAATCATTTAAACTAGATGGACATGTTATTACTTTTTTGAGATTTTGTTCCAAACTTTTTCAAAAGGTGTAGATGAAAGAAATGGTTGTTATGCAAATTTTTTTACTTATTGTGTAGATCAAAAGGAAAAGAATGCCTTTATTTATTTTAGAGATAATATATTTAATGTTATATTTTTAATGGCAGAATTTGCATTTTTTCACAAGAATCATGTACTGGAATTCTTGAACAATGTCCATGGTGCAACAAATTTCATACAAAAAGCAACTCTCCAATTATGTAAGTCCAACCTAGCCATAGTTGAATGTAAAGTGCTTGGTTTGATATCTAAATTGGTTACGGCTCCATTTTGGCGAGCTATTGAGAGGAATAAACATGTTTTGGATATGAATGAATAAAATTATTATGAACAATTGCTCAAATTTTTTGAGGAGCAAGGTCAGTGTGCTATTAATTTTATAAATGCAGAGAGATACCCTTTTGAAGAGGAAATGATTGTAAAAGATAGATATTATGATTGTTTATGTTTAAAAGATGAAAAAATAGATAATTTTGCTGTGCAAGTAGCACAGAATTTAATTACTTCATTTTATATGATATTGAATGCTGCTATGAAAGAGCAGCTACCAGGAGGAATGTTCTATGAATTAAATTCAGAGAGGATAACAGAAACTTCTTCAGTTATTCCCCACAATAAACTTCCCGAAAAGGCATTTGGAATGTTGGACTACCTGATAAGAAACAGACCAAATGCGACAACACTTACTAATGAAGCATTTGTATTATTTGCGTTCAATAAGACCAGTGACTGGCTTGACCAACTGCTTCCAAAGGAGAGAGATCGATTGTTGAATTTGGCAAAAAAAAAAAACAACCAAGGAAGACAAATAAGAGAAAAATTTTAAAGAAAGATGCAAGGACATTGAAAGACAAAGATTAGAGACACTGAAGAAAAAACAGGAAGAGGTGGTGAAAAGGAAAGAGAGGTTATATAAAAAGAGAGAGAAACAAAACGTATTTATTAATGTTACGCAAACACGTGTTTGTGTTTGTTTATTCTTGTCATCTATTGGCTGTTAGAATGGTCACCTAGTCAGGTGACATAAATATTCATAGCACGGGCTATTACTGGCCGTGAAAGAAATTCTGTATAGAGAAAGCCATTCGAAGGCTCTATTTCGTGCAGTCAACACGTTTTCGTCATTCATCATATTCTGTCATGGGCGATTCTGGAGACGAAATTTTGCTAGAGACTAATGATAATAAGAAAGTTACAAAGGAAACTACTGGTAGTAATCCTCCATTGGATATTTCGGACGTGGTGAAGCTTGTTACAGGAGTTTTGCAGTCACAATTTCAAAACCTTTCAGGTCAGCTTAAAGCAGAACAGTCGGAGTCCATTGCTAAGAAACTTAAAGAAAACTCTACTCTTAAGATTAAATCTGAAGGGAATCGCGCTCAGTACGATTTTAATGCTGAAATTCTTGAGGGTTTAGAAAAACTAGAGATAAGAGCTTTCGAAAATAAAGACAGTGAATCAGTGTCAATAATAGGCGAATTGCGGAAAAAACTGAAAACGCGCCAGAAATACATTCGTATTGCCGATTCATCTCCTGCAGGGTGGAAGACAGTAAACGAGTATCAGTCCAGAGAAATTGCCGACAACTCTGACGATGAGAAGAAAATTAGAAGCGCTGAAAACCGAGCCCTTAGGCAGCAAAGGCAAATCCAGAACAAGCGTTTCCACCCGTATGGCTCCTACAGAGCTTCAACAGCGTCAGCAGCGGCAGGCTCGGCAGCCCAGCTTACTTCTGGTTCTTCCTCTACTGCTACATCTCAGCCATATACATATCAGCAGCAGCCCTTTCGTGGCAAACTCACAAGGCGTCAACCACAGCCCAGCGACGTATGCTTCAACTGTTTTTCCACTGGACACTGGAAAACCAACTGCCCCAAAAACAAGTCACAAAGTCAATGATAAGTATACAGGTTATACAAGCTATTCTACTCTTGCTGGCCAGGTGAAATGCCTTCAGAAAAATAATTCAAAACAAATGTCATTGATAAAGTACAATTTGAAAAGAAATGTTAGTAAATGGAGAGAAATTGATACAAATCCTTTTATTTTGAAAGTTATTGAATCTGGATATGAAATTCCTTTCGTTTCAAATCCTCCTTCTATGTGTTTTCAAAATAACAAGTCTGCTATTAACAATTTTGAATTTGTTACTTCAGAAATTTCAGATTTGATGGAAAACAAACGTATTTTAGAAGTTCCTTTTCAGCCATTTGTGTGTAGTCCACTGAGTGTCGCCGAAAACAAAAATAAAAAGAGATTGATCCTTGATCTAAGTAGGCTAAATAAATATGTCAAGTATGATAAAATAGAAATTGAAGACTGGAAGACGGCATTAGATTATTTTGAAAAGGGTTTTTACTGTATTAAATTTGATCTGAAATCAGGATATCATCACATAGATATAGCTGTGAATTATCAAACTTATTTAGGATTCCAGTGGGAAAACAAGTATTACTGCTATACGGTTCTCCCTTTTGGTCTATCGTCAGCTCCATTCATTTTTACTAAATGCTTAAGACCCATCGTGAAATACTTGCGAAAAAGTGGCATTATGATTGTATTATATTTAGATGATGGTTTGGCGTTCGCTCCTACTGAGGACCAATGTCTTTTAGATTCTCAATTTATTCAGAAAACGTTGTCAGAAGTTGGTCTGGTGGTTAATGTTGAGAAATCACATTTTATACCAACACAAGTCATTGAATGGTTAGGTTTAACATGGAATTCAAATCTATTCTCTATTTCAGTTCCGGACAGACGAATCGATGATGCTATCTGTTGTCTACAGAAAACTATCACTCATTTTCCAAATGTAACAGCGAGGGAACTTGCAAGAGTAGTGGGGAAGATCATTTCTATGACTCCAGTAATGGGTAACATTTGCAATATTATGACAAGGTTTTCTTCTATGGAAATTGCTTTGAAAGAATCATGGGATTCTAAGCTATTTTTCAAGCATAAAGATCAAGTGTTTGAAGAACTAAAATTTTGGGTAGAATGTATGCGTGGTGACAGTACAAGATTTTTACATTCTGTTAAAAGAAAAAATGTAATCATTTATTCAGATGCAAGTAATTCAGCATCAAGTGCATATACAGTTGAAGTTAATTCTAAGGTGTTCCATTTGATGTGGAAAGAACATGAGAAAACTATGAGTTCTACATGGAGAGAGTTGATGGCCATAGAATTGGCGCTGGTTTCTTTTAAGAAAGAACTACAAAATATGACAGTAAAGTGGTTTACAGATAATCAAAGTTGTGCGAAAATAGTACACTCTGGTAGCATGAAGCATCACTTACAAGTTTTAGCATATAATATTTTCAAAATGTGTGCTGAAAACAAAATTTCTCTTGATGTTCAATGGGTTCCGAGATCAGAAAATGAAAAGGCAGATTTTTTTAGTAAAATTATTGATCACGATGATTGGGAAGTTACTAATGAATTTTTTGAATTTATTAGTTCTATGTTTGGTCCTTTCTCTGTAGATAGATTCGCAAACTTTAACAATCGTAAACTTGTTAGATACAACTCAAAATTTTGGAATCCTGAGTCAGAGGCTGTAGATTATTTTTACACAGAATTGGGTGGGCGTAAACAACTGGCTAGTTCCTCCCATTCATTTGATAGTTTCTACTATAAAACATTTATTAGATTGCAAAGCCTATGGTATTTTGATTGTACCTAACTGGCCCTCAGCTGTTTTTTGGCCAATGTTATTCGATTTAGAACTATCTTATAAGGCGTATGTTAAAGATGTGTTATTGTTTAAAGATACAAGTGAGATAATCAGTCAAGGTCAGAACAAGAACTGTCTATTTGGTTCTGTATATTTTGGCTCTGGAATACTTGTAGTACGTTTAGACGCTACAGATTTGTAGTATATGATGGTGTATTGCAGATGGTTTAGGCCCTGGTACACTTTAAACAAAGATTTTTGCCGAGCTGGGCAAATGTATAGATGATGTATTGCAGATGACAAGTGGTCCTGGTACATCAGAGAGGGTGTATTGCAGATGATGAAGGTCCTGATAGACCATATAATATGTTAAAGTTAGAAGATGCTAATTTTTTGCTTTAATAAACACATTTTTCAGATATATTTAAAGTGGGCAGATGGACGGGAATTAATTGTGGATTACAGGATCATCGTCTAGCGGAACTTGCTTCTGAACTACCCAGATATTGTGTAACATCTAAGGTCGAAAATACAGCAAAACAGTACAGGTACGCTTTTAATACCTTTTGTAAGTGGTGTAGCAGCTTTAACCCTGGGATTCAATCTCTTCCTGCTTCGGAAAACAACGTTGCACTATATATTATCCATTTAGCAAAACAATGTAAATCGTCTGGCACAATACATTCAGCTATACATGCCATCAGTTGGGCACACAGCCTAGCAGGTTACATAGATCCTTGTGACTCAGCTTTGGTAAAAGCTGTTAAGGAAGGGGCAGTTAGAGAGACATCAAAACCAGTGATTAAAAAAGAGCCTATAACGCCTGAACATTTGAAAACTCTGGTTTCTACATTTGGAGAGGATGGAAATTTATATAATTTAAGAACATTGTGTATGTGCTTATTAGGTTTTGCAGGATTTCTGAGATTTTCAGAAATAGTTAACATTCGTTACTCAGATATCTGTATACAGACTAATTGTGTAGAAATTAACATTGTTAAAAGTAAAACAGATGTTTATAAAACTGGTCATAAAGTTTGTATTGCTAGAACATTTTGTGATACCTGTCCTGTAAATATGTTGGAAAAGTTTTTAAAATTGTCAAACGCTGACATGCATTCTCCTCTGTTCTTGTTTAGATCTCTGTCATTTTGTAAAAAATTTCAAACTTATAAACTGAGATCGGATAATCGTCCAATTTCTTATACAAGAGCAAGAGAAATCATTTTGGATTCACTTGAAAAGATTGGTTTAGACAAGTGTAAATTTGGTGTCCATAGTCTGAGATCAGGTGGCGCTACCTCCGCAGCCGCCGCAGGTGTTAGCGACAGACTATTTAAAAAGCATGGGCGGTGGAGGTCGGAAAATTCCAAAGACGGTTATGTTAAAGAAAACCAAATTGAAAAACTTTCCGTGACTAAAAATTTGGGCATTTAGGATATTCGTTTTAGTTCTAATCTTCTTTATCTTCGAAATAATTAAACTGCACTTTCAGAGCGCTTCATATCCTATTTCACGAGTTTGTGTTTATTTCATAAATGTTTTATGTTCGTTTGAGTGAAACGAATAAGAACATAAACGTATTTATTAATGTTACGCAAACACGTGTTTGTGTTTGTTTATTCTTGTCATCTATTGGCTGTTAGAATGGTCACCTAGTCAGGTGACATAAATATTCCTAGCACGGGCTATTACTGGCCGTGAAAGAAATTCTGTATAGAGAAAGCCATTCGAAGGCTCTATTTCGTGCAGTCTTATAAGTCCCACCCACCCGCCCATTGCTTAGTTTTTGAATGCTATATTAGATTCATACCTTGTTGAAAATATTTATTTTCTATTTTGTAGAATTCGGACATTGAGTGATGAGGACATTAGAAAAAAGAGATATTATTTGTAATAATTGTGTGAAATAATTAAACTGCACTTTCAGAGCGCTTCATATCCTATTTCACGAGTTTGTGTTTATTTCATAAATGTTTTATGTTCGTTTGAGTGAAACGAATAAGAACATAACATCAGATATAATTTATTATGGGTTGTGGCAGAGCAACAAAACAGTTGAACAAACTCTTAAATCTATTCCAAAAATATCCGAAAAAAGAAAAGCTCTTGTTGCACAAATACGTTTTCGCCAAACTGTTCTAAAACAAGTGGTAAAAGATAAAATTATATTTAATGTTACTTCTAAAGGAAAACCTTTATCAATAGTACAGTTGACTGAAAATGTAAAAAAACTGATACAGGATGCTGCTACCATGGATAGTACAATTCAGCAAAATAGAGCACCACTGCCATTTCTAGTAGGAAAAAAAGTGAAACACACTTTCGAGGAATATTCGTGGGAAGAGTTATTAGTACTGTTCCAGGCTTTCCAAGTTTCTTTAATATTGTTTATGACAATGATCTTGATTCTGAAGGAAACGTGACAGACTCGACAGCAATTTATACATATGAACTGATGAATGATTATCATGCCAACAAACTTGAAGTAATTCCAGAGGTGGTGAGTGCATTTAGCAAATAGATGAAACAAGGAGTTTCATCTTTATTTTACTTTTTTTTAAAACTTTATCCTGCTGTACAGATAGTACAGTGTCACTTCTTTGCTTTTTAAAACACTGCCTTATCATTACTTTCTACCAATTACTAACATCCGGTATTTTGTCATTATCAAACACATGAATAGTTTGAAATTGATGTTTAATTTTATTAGTATATTCATTAAAAAAAAAATCATAAACATATTAAAAGTACAATATTGATTCATTCTAACATCAATAAAATATTTTTTATGTGTGAAGTTATTGTGTATTTGCAAAGATTAAAAATGAAAAAAGGTGATTTTTAAGTTTTTCAGGCACAAAAAAGGTTTGGTTGATTACTAATTCAGTGTATTATTTTGATTTTACAGGTATCCTGTGCCTTGTGAAAGATCCAAAAATACTTTGTAAAGGGTAAAGAAAGACAATTGATATGAAATAAATTTTTTGGACCATATTTTATTTTGTTTCTATTTTTTAAAAAATGGTAACAGTTTTTTTTTAATTGGACGTGGAAAGGTCCAATATTAAAATATCTGTATCTTCCTTATTTTTCAAGCAAATCTAGAAAATGAAACAGTTTTGGAAATTACACAACTAGTGCTTTAATATGGGGCTAAAAGTTTTTTCAGAACTTGAGTGGAAAAAAATCATCTTCCATAGCTACAAAATGTTCAACAGACAATGACATTGACGGACAAGAATAAACATTGACAGTCAACAAAAATACATCACAGACATTCAATATACACAGAAAAATTGTTTACCTTATTGAACAGACGCGTTTGACAGCAAAGAGTTTATGAAACACATTTTTCTACACTTCCGGAAGTGTAAAAGCAAAACACTTGAAAATTTGAATGGCGAGCCCGATCTTTTTACACATGAGTAACACGCACCTTGCACACAGCATTCACAAAGCTGGCAACCTCACACACCATTACATTAAACATAAAATAATACACACACATGTACAATACAATACAACAACAGAAAGACACAGAACATGAAAATAATTAATAGCACAGATATATCTGGATGGGTTTTATTTTTCACTGATCACTGAATTGCATGGTTACACCGCGGTAATTTCACAACGTTGCGCGAACTCTTTTCCTCGAACACAACAGATGTCAATAAATTCACGGATCACTGGACAGTGGACACCTGTCCTGAAATGAACTCAGGTAGACAGCAGGTTCAGAAAATGTTAACAAGTAGCTAGCGTAATATTAAGTGCACTGAATTCAAACACATTCCGTACGGACTCCAAGCTCGTACTGAGTACAATCATGAACAGAACTCACTTGTCATGACTAAAGAATGTAGAATGTACGTAGAAAAGATATAGATGTAGGCCTACTATTTTGAATCTGGGCGTTGGTCGTCACAGCGGCACTGGCGTTTCGGCCTTGTCCCAGGAACTGGAATCTGGATCCTGGTTTCCCTCACAGTAACATCAAGAGATGCGTGGGCGCCATATGTCACAAGGTCACGGTCTTGTTAGAAGAATTCAAAACAAAACTGGTTCGATCGTTTTACAATTTATTGATGGATATAAAGAAAAACCTAGAAAATAGAAAACACTGTCACAACACTCATACAAAACAATACACATAGACAAACACGAAACAAAAAGACATTTCGACATTTACGAAAAGTGATAATTAATTAAGATATTCAAACGACTGCCAGTAGATCGTTACATAAATTAAACAAGTAAATGAATTACAAGATTAATGAACATCTTACCAGGCATCCAGTATTAAATAAGAAATGAAAATATACGTTGAACATCGATTGAATCGATCTGTGATGATATATATATATATATATATATATATATATATATATATATATATATATATATATATATATATATATATATAGCAATCTGCTACCGTAAAGGCTGTAAAGCTTGGGGTGGGGATTTCGGCGGGTTTCTTACTTTATATAGTGCACGGGTTAGTAAAACATGCATATAATTTAGTATAACGAAATCCATTGGTCCATGGTAGGTCACTGGTCAGTCATACGTAAAGGAAATGCTAAAAATAGAAATTCACCTGTACAAAACAAAACACTCGCACATGGCTCTCACATACCTGCAAAACCGGTTGTATTCGACTGGCTATGCGCGCCAATCGCAATACGCACTAAATATTGCGCAAAGCATCAAAGCAAATATTTCATTATAATTTAATTACAACTGTGACATATACAGTGGATATTTATATATATGTTTGTCGGATATTTATATATATGTTTATTTTAATGCAATAAGTATTTTGATACCCCGGTTACCCATCAACTGGTTAATTTCTTTCCATAATCCTTTTAACGCTAGAACACCTTATCTTATCCTCCTTCAATGAGTAAAAAGTCTGTAAAACAGTTTGTCGTGTGTTGCCACCTTTGTGACGTTTAATAATTTGTTTGAAATTCTCAAAAGTATTATTAACAATGCCATATGATTTTTAGCAGACACAAGATATCAAGATGAGAAATAAAACCATTTTTGTAAAGGGAGATAATCCAAATTTACAGTAATTACCACTTAGATTTAACAGAAAAATCATGAAAATGGATCTGAAAACGCCACTGACTTGAACGAACTAGGGAAAGTTCAGACCCATAAAGGAAAAATAAATGGCAACACACCTCAAACATAAATCATACCAAAAGTGAGTAAAATTTTAATAACTTTCTGTACATTTCAAAAATGGGAATAAACTTATGTCCCGTAATGCAACAAAACAACTTTCTCATGAAATATATATATGACAAGATACTGTTTCTATTAATCTTTTACAATTCAAATTTGATAAAAAAATTTGAATTCACAAGTGTCTTATGAGGGATAAACATATGCCCCCATCACAACCAAATGAGGTTACTAATCCAAGTGTATGCTGTCTGTGGGTCCCAAGTATTAAAGAATGACTCTGTAGAATGTTCGATAAGGGATAAACATATGCCCTTATAGTCGCAAATCATCATCTTATTCGCTGTTTTTTACTAAGTTCACATGTGTGTGGTATTCACTTAAAGACTACCTCGAGCAATGTTTCAGATGAGGGATAGACATATGCCCCCATATTGAAAAATATTTCACACTGTAAGCTTCCTCACCGTTTTAAATGTTTATATGCACGCGATCTTGTCACCTACCAGCCTAAGTATTAACAAATGACTTAGGCACTATTGTTCTGGATGAGGGATAAACATATACCCCCATAAGTTAATGCTCCTGAAAATCACTTCAAAGTCGAGATCCTACACAAATAACAAAACAAAATCTGCTCCGAGGATCCACTTCCACTCAAGCATATATCAACATGGTGTTACGTGTCTTAAGTAATATTTAAATGCATCCGATTTCCATCTACCCAGGAATCTAATCTGACTATCGCTCATCCCCCGTGATGCACAGTAAGAGGCCATTCCAATTCGAAAGGAACGTCCTTTGAATCTATTGACATCCAAATTACAAAACATGAGGCTTTGCTTTAATATGTTTGAAAATTCTTGCCTTGTGACTGCAGTGTTTTGGGGGTAGCAAAACAGGGGCCCATCGGTCCTCCCTCTCATCTTAATGTAGTGTTCTAATGCCCCCACTGGACAATATTTTAAAGAGTTGCAAGAATTAATTGTAAGAGTAAAAACTTTACCATCAGAATGTTTATAATTTTGAAAGTGAATCAAAACTTTACTTTTCTGAAAAGTAATCTGTGAAACTTGTAAAACCTTATTAGCAGTGCAAACTGATGTTATCTCTCCTATTCTGAGGAAGCTGTGAAAAGCCAATAAAAACATTGATTGAAATAATACCCTTTTATATATGTTCGATACTGTATGTTCTAACGCATCACAAATTTTATGCAGAACTTCCTTGGTTATTGGTAAACGAATATCCACTGAAGGTCTTGATTTGCGACAGGGACTTAATAGTTTCTGAATGAGAAAGCATGATGTATTGTCAGGCAAATTATTAATTTTATGTATATATGCTATTGATAAATAAATGACACGATAGAGGAGGCTGCATAACCTTCAGCAAATAAATAAGAGATAAACAAAGCCAAAGTTTCCTGAGACAACGGAAGATCATTACTTATATCAAATTTGTCTGCAAAATTTCTATAAATAGACCATGCCCGTTTATATGCTTGAGTGGAAGCTGGTGCCAATGTTGAAGTCAACAGGTTCCTCAAGACTGGTTCTACGGAGGTAATGTTGGCAGATTGGGAATCATCGTTGGTTCTTTGTCCATCCAAGGAGCAAGTTGATGAACTGCTGCACCTTCAAACGAGACAAGCAATCACATAGAATATTTTCCTTGGTACCCAGATGCCTAGCTTTAAACAAAATGTTAGACTGCAAACAAATTAGCACTAACTCTCTAACCAAATACATTATACTTTTATCCTTAGACGATTGCTTGTTAATGATATGCACAAGGGAATAATTGTCTGTGTAAAAAAAAATGCATTTGTTTTTAAAAATATGACTCCAAACTTTAAGATCTAACACTATTGGGTAAAATTCCAAGAGAGTAAAATATTACATTTTTTTTCCAATTATCATTCCAAGTCCCATAGAACCAGTGCCCACCTAACACTGCCCCATATCCTATAGATCCTGAAGCGTCTATATACAGTTTTAATTCATTGGAATCAACCCACCTATCTGGTAAAAAAAACTGACCTACCATTAAATTTTTCCAAGAAGGCTAACCAAGTACATAAATCTGCTTTTACTTCTTTGTTTAGTCTAATGCGATAATATGCTTTTGTAATGCCAATAGTAGTGTTGATAAGTCGCCTTAAGAATGCTCTACCTGGCAAGACCACATAACAAGCAAAATTAAGAAGACCAATCACTGACTGCATATCCTTCAAAGTAATTTTTCTGCTTGGTAAAAGCTGTTCAATTGTTTCTCTACATTTTTTACCTTTATCAATAGGTAACCTTGCCTCCATCATATCGGTGTCTAATTCATATCCCAGAAAAGTCATTACCTTGTTAGAACCAAATGTCTTATCCTCAGCCATAGGTACACCTATGTCGGCGCAAACTGTTAAAAATGCCACAAGTTTTATGTGGCACTCTGTCGCAGATTTGTCAACAATTAGAAAATCATCTAATACATGAGTCATAAATTTAATTCCTAATTTTTCTTGTGCAATCCACTGAAGTGCTGTACTAAACCTTTCAAATATACGACAGAAAGAACTGCAACCCATCTGAAGACATGTGTCAAAATACCAATGACCTTGCCAAGTGAAACCAAAGTATTCAAACTGTGATAATTTGAAATGCATTAGAAATATCTGTTTTGCAACAATAGAATCCTTTCCCACACTGCTTAATGTTTTGAATGGCATCCTCTACAGAACAGTATTGAACAAATGACTCTTCCTCGGG